AGGGGAAAACAACAGTCTCTTTAACAGCTGGTGCTGGGAAGACTGGACAGTTATCTGCAAAAGAATGAAACTAGACCACTTTCTTACACCAGGTGCAAAAATAAATTCCAAATGGATTACAGCCCTAAATGTGAGACCTAAAACCACAGAATTCCTAGAAGAGAGCACAGGCAGTAATTTCTTTGACATCAGCCGTAGCAACTTCTTTCTAAATATGTGGTCTGAGGCAAGGGAAACGAAAGGGAAAATAAACTACTGGGACTACATTGAAATTAAAAGCTTCTGCACGATGAAGGAAGTAATCAACAAAACTAAAAGGCACCCGACTGAATGGGAGAAGATGTCTGCAAATGACATATCTGGTAAAGGGTTAGTATCCAAAATATGTAAAGAACTTCTACATCTCAACCCCTCCAACACAAATAATCCAATTAAAAAATGGGCAGAAGACCTGAACAGACGTTTCTCCAAAGAAGACATCCAGATGGCCAGCAGACATGGAAAGACACTCACCGTGACTAATCGTCAGGGAAATGCAAATCAAAACTATAGTGAGCCACACCTCCTACCTCAGCCACATTTAGAATGGCTGAAATCAACAACACAAGAAACAACAGGTGTTGGTGAGGCTGTGGAGAAGGGAACCCTCTTGCACCATTGGTGGGAATGCAAACTGGTGCAGCCACTGTGGAAAACAGTACGAAGTTTCCTCAAAAAGTCAAAAATAGAACTACCCTATGACCCAGCAGTCTCAACTACTAAGTATTTACCCAAAAAAATACAAGAACATATGTTTATTGCAGTATTATTTACAGTAGGCAAGATATGGAAGCAGCCCAAGTGTCCATTGGTTGATGAGTGGGCAAAGATGTGAGATATCTATATATCTGTATCTATAATGGAATGCAGTATTACTCAGCCACGAAAAAGAATGAAATCTTGCCATTTGCAACAATATATAGAGGGTATAATGCTAAGCAAAATATGTCAGAGAAAGATAAATGCCATATGATTTCACTCCTATGTGGAATTTAAGAGAAAACAAGCAAAGGGAAAAACGAGAAAGAGAGACAGATCAAGAAACAGACTCTTAATTATAGAGAACTGATGATGGTTACCAGAGGGGTGGGGGGATGGATTATATATGTGATGGGGATTAAGGAGTGCATTTGTGATGAGCACTGGGTGATGTATGGAAGTGCTGAATCACTATATCGTACACCTGAAACTAATATAACACGGTGTGTTAACTATGTGGAATTAAAATAAAACTTTAAGAGAGTTAAAAACAATAAGAACATTCAGCAAATCTTAAGGAGTTATAGCGACTTACCCAAGATTATACAGTCATCGGTTGAGCCAAGATTTGGATCGGGATTGTCTGACTCCAAGCTCGTTCTCTTTAGATACATGTAACAGTGTCCTTTATAGTGGGTTCCTAACTCGCCAGTAACTCAGGATCATTCCTGTGAAGGAAGATACAAGGGTTCATCTACTCTCTGGGCCCACCTCTGGAGCTCCTCTGCACGGAAGGGGGCTAGTTCTCTTCACAGACAGATCCACAGGGACTCCAGCAGTTACAGGCTAGCAGCACAGGAAGGAGCTTCTGGAGTCCTTCAGTCCATTCCCTGCTTGGTAGATGAAGAGTGAGTTACTTACACAAGATCACCTGGGCAGAAAGGAATAGTCTTGAATCTGCTGTCCACCTAACACTGCCCTACTGGAAGATACTGTGAACTTTGCTGGTTGATCTAATTTATTTAGCAAATAGTTGTAACAGATTGGAGCCAATTATATAAAATCGCGAGATTGATCACTTTTAATCAAATACAGTCTGACACAGTATGAGGTAGCCAAGGATAGGTCTGCCGTGCAAACATCCTGCAGCCTTAATCACCAAATGGCCAACCCCTCACATTTATCACAAGAAGCATTAAACTTATGTAACCTATTTTCTGTGCCAACAGTGAACGGTAAGAAATTAGGGAATAAGGTAATCTGTCTTGTCACAGGAATTGTTCATATGAAAAAAGGAAAAACATGAAATTTCCACATGCATTTGCCAGACTGAAAATGTGGTAGCAATAGCATCTATTAAACAAACAAACAAAAAAAATTGTGATTTTCCTCCTTCTTCCCAAAGGGAATCCCTGTTAGCAGTTTCTAAGTATCCTTCCAGGAAAAAAAAAAAAATTAGTCAATATGTAGGTTTTATTCTTTCAGTATTCTTTTATCCATCTGTGATTTTGGTGTAGCCTGTGAAATTATGTCATTCCTTTTATTTAAAAACAGTTGTTTGGGGGCGCCTGGGTGGCGCAGTCGGTTAAGCGTCCGACTTCAGCCAGGTCACGATCTCGCGGTCCGTGAGTTCGAGCCCCGCGTCGGGCTCTGGGCTGATGGCTCAGAGCCTGGAGCCTGTTTCCGATTCTGTGTCTCCCTCTCTCTCTGCCCCTCCCCCGTTCATGCTCTGTCTCTCTCTGTCCCAAAGATAAATAAACGTTGAAAAAATAAATAAATAAATAAAATAAAAACAGTTGTTTGTTCCAACTCAGTCCTGTTCGCCAAATCAGTTTTGGCAATCAGTTTGATGTGGAAATGTTGGGGTTCAGGAGCAAACGGTAAAGTAAGAATTCTTGAGACATCTTTGGTGCAAATAGGTGGTTTTCTTAAAGTAAATAAACATTTAAAACATTTTTTAAAATGGAAAAGATCATTTAGTACTGCTGTCTAATAAAATGTTAGTCATGAGACCCTTTACATGTGTAGCACTGGGCCATATGCTTGAAGGATGATTAGCAACATATATCTTGGGGGGATAGAGATAAAGGAAGTTTCCAAAGGAATTTTCTTTTTGTGTTTATTTATTTTGAGAGAGAGAGAGAGAGAGCTTGAGCAGGGGAGCAGCAGAGAGAGGGAGACAGAGGATCCCAAGCAGGCTCTGCACTGCCCACACGGAGCCCGATGTGGGGCTGGAACCCACAAACCGCGAGATCATGACGTGAGCCAAAACCAAGAGTCAGACACTCAGCCAACTGAGCCACCCAGGGGCCTCCCAAAGGAATTTTTATACGTTAAAGTAGACTTACAGGATCCTGGAAGTCAGGATACTGTTAAGCTAAGATCGCCTTTTGCCCTTAGCGAAGTATCAACATCAAGGCAGCTGAGTCCCTAGAGGAAGGTCACTCTGCCCCTCTCAAGGACTTGTCAATGGGCTGCAAGTTGTAAGGAAAGTTCATTTTTTCTTTTGCCTTTGTCCCCCACATTAAGTTGGTTGCAAATGGCTAGTCACCATAATTCTTCTGTAAGGCTGAGATGTCCTCTCCAGTCCTTGATTGAAACCTGTGTCTACCTATAAGCCCTAATCATTGTAGCAAAGCTTCTAGTTGGGTACATTAGGCTCTTTTTGGTTTGTAAAAACAGACAAATGCACACAAGGTTGTGTCTCTTTCCCTCTGGCTTCTATTTATCCAGTGTGCCCTCTGCCTTCTCCCTGGATTGGATAATGGTTGGCAAGAGTGACTTGAATTAAATTAAGTAAAACACTGAAAGGAACAGAGAACATAAAGGTGATAATGCCTAAATTATCTTATATAACCTGAATTAACCACGAGGAAATAACCAGACGAGCCCAAAGTAAAGGATGTGTTACAAAACAGTTCGTTTGCATTCTTCAAAAATGCCAGTGTCATGAAAGAATGAAAGGCTAAGGAGTGGTCCTGGATTAACGGTGACTCAAGAGATGTGACTACCAAATGCAGTGGGATCCTGGGTTGGGGGAGGGGAAAGATGTCATGGCTGCCAACCTTGCAGTAATTGGCGAGAGATTGGAATAGAGGAGTTGCATGTTAGATAATTGTATCAACATTAACTTCCTGCATTGGATGGTTGCCACGGTGGTTAATCCAGATCTCCTTTCTTGATCATATTAGCAACCAACTCATTCTTAGTTATGGTAGATTCAGGAGTTTTAGCCCCCTTGAATCTTCTGTGGAGGAAGATGGAAAAAACAGCCTTGTTTTCAGGATCTTGTAAAAATACTAACCAGCACGCTGAACTGTGGTGCCCCCTTGCGGTGAGAGCTCCCTTCGTTCTTGGGACTGGCTTCACAAAACTAGAGACTTACCGTCGCCTCACGAATATTTTTCGAAACCTATTATGTGTCAAGGATTCATAAGCTCCTTCTGGAGCTTCCAAATACACAAACAAATGTGGAATCACAAACTGCAAGAGGGTTTTGAAGGAGACTTTGTAAACAGGCTGATTATCTCTAAAACTTGGCATCAAAGAGAAGGGAGATACCCCTGTCTTTTGGTTCATACTGAGTTTGGGGCAGCCCTTCTCCATGGCTGTTGGGATTACCCGTTCTGGTCTGGGTCCCTGCTTGCCTTACCACTACTTAAGACTGGTAATAACACAGTTAGTGCTTTCCTGTCTGGGACTTAAAATAATAATTTTCTTGAAGTTACATCTGAGAAAAGGTGGGATTGCTGTCAACCAAGCCCACTTCTCTAAGGGACACTGTATGTAATTTGCAGCCACAGAGGAACCGACAGACCCCACCTGTATCAGTGGCACGTGGAGAGCACCTTCCTCCCTGCCTGTCTTGTCTGTCACATTGCTCACAACAGCACCTCGCTTCCAGCCGCAGACAGCTGGATTATAGTGTCTTGAGCGAAGGGCTTGTCTGTGATGCTTAACGATCGTCCTTCATGCTGGAGGCTCTGAGCCGTGGCCCACGGTGAGGGACACAGGAGAAAGACTGTGATGATGTCATGATGTGGACGCGGGGGGGGGGGGGCGGGTTTACCCAACCCAGGTGATGAAACAGGATTGCACAGAATCACCCGCGTGGTCTGCTAGACTGTTTGAAAAAGGAAGACGGCCGTTTGCTCAAACTGACACAGTTCTAATATTTGGAGAACTCAGCTAAATCATAGATAATAGCAATGCTTGTGGAATAGAAAATGTGTTTCTGAGTAGTGGGTGTAGACATTTTAAACATTTCATCGTGGGAAATTTATTTAAAGAAAACAAACAGAAGGAGGCAGAACGTGGTCATGAACCCCATGTAGGCGCCCCTCACCTTCCACTCCCCCCTGGATTCTTTTCACATATTAATTATGGATGTACTTGTAATTGCTGACAATCACTTCTTTTCTGCATTGGAAAAATACAGCTCTGTGATTTTTGGGTTTTTTTTGCTCTATCT